ACTTATTTCCAATCTGAACCTCCATATCATCATCCCTCTCTCCCTCGCCTTCTGCCAACTCCCCTTTCCTTCCCTCCAGTGCTGTCTTATACATACTAATCTCCCAATACTTTGCATCCAACATATCCTTATCCGTCGAATCCAACAAATCGGCTGGATTTGTACCCTCCACTGTTGACGTCTTAGTATCAAAGGCCCCATCATGCACCCTAATTCCTGATCCTGCACCACCTCTAGGTGTACTAGGGCTGAAAACCCCGTCAATGTCCTGAATTATCTTAGTAATAAAACCCTGGGCGAACACGGTCATGGAGCCATCCGCATCTCCCTTCTCAGGTGGCTCCATCAGCTCCGCCACTACAATGGGCTGCAACGGCACTGTGGACGAATCAGCCTCCATTCTTCGGAACACTATAACGAGCATCTGGACCAACGAAGCCTTGGCAGTAGTCTGGTTCACCACGTTCTTACTACTCAGATAAATGTCGTAACAAGTCCTCACCACTTGCAGCAAACAATCACCATGTATCCGAAGGGAGACAGATGTGACGGCCGACAGGAGTGCCTTGATCACCAACAGCTCCACATTCTCATCTCCCAAATCGTGGCATTTGCAGACGGAGTCAATCAATTTGGAGAGCAGCTTGGCGTCGGGCCCACCGCTGGGGTCCGCCTCGCCGTGCAAGTACCCGTGAGCGATCAATCTCTGCACGGCATCAAGCGCGGGTTCAGAGACTTTGGCGTAGTTGGCTGAGAGGGCGTTGATTATCGGGCTGAGAACGATGTCGGACTCCGACAGGGAGAGATCCAGGAGGATGCCGGGATGGGACGACGCATCGGAATCCGATTGTCCGGAGGGAGACGCCGGGGGTGTGGGAGGGGTAGGGTTTTGGTTGGACGAGGTGAGATGCTCGACGACCGATTTGCACTCCGCGGCGAGCTTGGCGTGCTTCCGCCACGACGCGTTCTTGATGATCTTCTCGAGGGAGGGGATCAGAGCTTGGTTCAGGCGGGAATCGGCTTCCGGAGAAGCCATTCCCGGCGATCGGAGACGGCGATGGAGCTGCCGAGCCCGAATTGGTAATGTGAGTGGTGGCGGTTAGGACGCCTTCACGCGGCGGCAATGGTGGTGGTGGCAAATGGCGGCGGCGGTGGTGGTGGCGGATCTAGAGAGAGGGGGCGAGGAGTGAGAAGCTGTGGAGCATTTTGGATCGCGAAGGGGGTGATGCAAGTGAAATGAGAAATGTTTGACCGATGTGAAAAGACGATAATGCTCTTTGGATTGTTTATTAGGGATGAGATGATAGATTTATTTATTAAAATTAAAATAATGGATTAATTGTGAATTATGAATCTCTTTGCTCCTAATCTCGATATTGGAATTAAATATCATAAATTAACCATGATTTTTTACCTTTCCTTAAATTTTCTTGATAGGTGGGATTTTTATAGATAGGAGACTTGATTATTGATAACTAGTACAATACCCGTGTATTACACGGGTGTTTGCTAATTTTTTTTCTGAAAATCTAAAATTAATGAGAAAAAGTAGTTTGAAAATTTAAATACTTTTTATAAAAATATATATATTATTATATGTTTTTTATGACACTTTTTATTTGTGCAACTTACTTGTGTTATATTATAATAATTTTTTTTAACTTACAATATATAACTACATTACATATAAATATATCAATTGAGAAATAATTTTATTTTTCTAATGAATTTTAATAAATATTATTATTTTTTATTATTATAAAGATATATAATTTATTTATTTCATATATACAATATGGATGTCAAATCGAAGATCATCAAAAGATGATTAATTTGATATATTATATATGTAAAACCTATAAGAAATACAAAAGTTATCAACTTTTAAAATACATATATAATTCAATAGCTTATTGAAGGAAACAAATCAAAATTCTAGGATATATTAGTCACTTAGTGCCTCACTATGTAAAATTACAAAGAATTAAAGGGTTATATTAGTAAAAGTGATATTAAAATACCTAAGTTAACTAAATAATATTTATGGAATACCCGAACCTAGATTATTAATTATTAATATATCAATATTATTTATCCAAACCTAATTACGAAGCATGATTCTTCGCCAAATAGGATTCCGAAGCACCAGAAGCAGCCACGTAGACTCAGCGCATTCGGGAATTATATATAGGGAGGATTGTTCATATTACGTATTGATGTAAACGAGTCGAGTCAAACTCGAGTTTGAGTCTTTATTAAGACGAGATGAGATTGTTGTGTTAAGTAAACGAGTTGGTAAACGAGCTCGAGATTGGTTGTTAATTAATTGAGATTGAGCTTTAATGTACTGAATTAAAATAAAAAGTATAAAAAACTAAATATCATATTTTTCAAGCCAAAGTCTCACACCTTGATAAATAAATAGAATTATAATAAAAGTTCAATAAGTATGTAAATATCATTTTTGTTAGGTCTAATAAATTTTAATAAGCCAAACAAAATTTGAGCCTTACCGAGCTAAATACAGCCACAAATCGCTATAACATTGAGATGAAAAATGAGAATATGAAAGCATTTTAGCCATTTCAATGTATTATTTTTTTTTCTACGTAAATACACGTTTACTAAAACAATATACATTTCGAAATAGTTCATCTACTAATTTAATTCAACATATTGTATTGTAATAGATTAATTTTCAGCTATCAATATTCAACTTTGAGCTACCTTATTATATTATTTTAAGTGACCATATCAAATTTTGAAATGAATGATTAGCATATTGGTTGTTCATTTGGTGTCCATGTGTCAACACTCAACAAGAAAAAAAGATCAAAAATCAAATTGAGCCGCCCACTCACAACCTGAACAACTAAACCTAAGCACTAACAATTATTACTCTCCTCAAAATAATTTAAAAAAAAAAAAAATTACTTACTAATTATAGTAATGGCAAAATCAACAATAATTAATTATATAGTTGTGGTATATGAACATAATAGACAGCATACATAAACACTGAAAAGTTATGTTGACCTAATCTGATATTTATAATCAATAATCTTTACACCTTATACATCATTTATTTATATTAACATCAGCTTTTTTAAAAAAAAAAAAAAATTAGCAATTTTTTTATCGATAAAAGTAAATTTATAAATCAAAACTGGTATTCGAACGACCAACAGGCGGTCTACAAAGCGTAGTGGACATCAGGGGCGAATCTAGCTCATGGAATGAGCGGAGGCCTATTTGTAATTATAAAAAAAATAATATTTTACTATCATAAAAATGTATAAGGAAAAAAACACAAATTTATAATATACTTATGAGTTTTCATTACTCAATATTACTCCATAATAACATTCATTGCAGTTGTTTTGGCCCAACAATATTAGAATTTCACACGAAGTATATTTTGAATGAAAGTATCTTAATTTTGAATATTTTCAAATGAACTTTTTTTCGAGGCATTTTCCAAAAAAAAATATTTCTACATAATTTTATGTAATATATATATATATATATATTATATATTGTGTAAAATGTTTTACTAATATATCAAATTTTTAAGAGTCTATAGTTTAAGTTATTAATCACACACAAATTATAATAGATGATATATATAATTGTTTTGGATAATTAAGAACAATGACAAGTTTACTTTCACAAAAATTAGTAAAAACAGATTCATTTTCTCCATTATGTCTCTTTGTATTTAGTTGTTTGTGCTTAAGGATTGTCCTTAATTTTCATTTTTATTTTATTAACTGAGTAATTAGCTATTTTTTACTTCTAATGGTATTTAAGTTGTAGTTATTTTATTCTTTCCAGTGTGGGCCTAGGCCTACCCTGGTCTCTATATAGGTAGACCCCTCCCTGGTGGGCATCCACATGCACGACTCCTCTTTCGCAGCATGTTGGTGGCTCAAAATTAGCAATTTTGTTCTTTTTAATAGTATGAAGGCATAAGGATGCTACTTTGAAAATGGACGCCACATGCTGTTGCTAACAAGTATTACACTGAAAATGGGTCCAACTTTAGTTATACTACCAGCTCATCTTCAGTCCAAAGCTATGCTTCCTCACAAAATAATTTGGGCTGGACTCTTACCCAACTTCGTAATTGGGCACGACAAACTTAATTGGGCTTCTTGCACTTATCGTTTTGCATATAAGACATGGCCAACAGACCTTGGCCGTCGGCCGGGCCAAACCTATTGACCATGCACTTTGGGCCTGCATTGGAACTGGTCCGTGTTTTGTCTTGGCCGGCTTTAGGCTTGGGGACCTACATTTGAATTTCACAATTTAACATTTAAATTCAGTTCAAATGACAACCAAGTCTTAGCGTGGGAACCTAAAAATCGCTAGTTTTAATTGTACGTAGTGCTATGATTGATTGTGTTTTTGTGTTATTTTTAACATAGATGTATTTTATTAAAAAAAAAAAAGTAACATTTTATATTAGCATTTGTGAGAACGATAGCACTATGTGATATTAAAATAGCATCACATACACTTACAAATAACATAAAATATGATTTTCACGGTTCTCACACCATGACTAGTTTTTATTAGAACCTACCCCTATATATATATATATATATTAAGAAACATTGGATATATAAATTAGGGAAAAAAATCACAAGGTTTATTTGATCGATATTGAACACAAACTTGCATGATTGAGTAAGAATGTACGTAATTCAATGGTAATAAGCTCTGTTAGGATCGAAAGCATGGAGAAAAAAGAGTGCATGCATCAAAACATACCTAAAGACCAAAATTAAAGAAAAGTCTCCTGGCTGATTATTTTAGTCGATCATAGAACAAGTAAGAGCCCACTTAATTCACAAAAACATATCATCAAAACCCATTTCCACAAGCGGGTCGGATCTTCTACGACATGATTGATGATCAGATAATCAGACAATATTCACTTTGTAATTTTATTTTATTTTTTCCCTTTCCCTTTGGGTTTGTATTTAATTTATCATTCACCTCGAATGTGGCGGCAAAGCTGAAACTTGATGATCTCTGCAGGGCATTACAGGCGGCGCGTGCCTGCTCAGAAGCTCACGCGCCAACTCCTGAAGATCGCCGCCGCCTCCGCTGGCGGTCGACGATGGAAGCTCCGGCGGGACTCTTCCGGCTGGGGATACGTTCGGAAGCTGACGCTGGTAGAGGGCCAACGAGGGGTTGTCGAAAAACGACGACAGGTCGTAAGCCGCCGGCACCACCGGCAGATCGGAAACCGACTGGATTTGCGGCGGCGTGAACAGCGGCTGTGGCGGCGCCGGTGGCGGATTCGGGATCTCCAGGGAGGCGAGGTGGGCCTGCAGGTAGTTGAGCTCAGCTTGAAGATTGACCACCTGAAAAAATACAACACTAATTAGGGTTTTTTTTAATAGTGGTGAAATGTTAAAAGATTGAAAGAAGAAATGATAACAATTAAATCCCATCAATGTTTAAAATTATATAAGCACAAGTTCTAGAGCAGTAAAATGTAGAATGAATTTTTGTTTAGTTAACAAGATCGAGTTAAGGCTCGTTAGGCCTGAACAGATGTGGGTTTTTACGTTATTTTTTGAACTTTCAATGTAATTCAACTTGTAAAAGCTTGTAAATGAGCTGAGCTGAGCTCGATCGAGCTCGTAGCTGAACATTTTTATGTAATTTTCTAAAAATTTAAAAATGAGCCGAGTTAACGAGCCGAGCTCTACTTGATAAAGGTTCGGACCGAAGCAGGAGTATGATTAGGAGCTCAAGTTCTGCTCAGTTTTGTTCGATTACGGCCCTGAGTTTAACCGAAAGCTCTCATTTTCCAATTATCGAGAACAAAATGAAACAAAAATAAGTGAGACGGAATAGTTACAATGTATCTCCACAAGTTGGAACAATATCAAGCAAGTGTTGAAATGAAGCATGTAATAGAGACTGTAGCAACAGTAGAATCATATTCAAAAAAGTACAATGTTTGTAAGACAATATAATGTCAACACGATTGATGAAATTATAAGGAAGAAATTCCTTGTCAAAAGAGGCAAAACCCGATTGATAAGACAACTTGTACAACTGATCATGATGGAGGAGAGATAAATAATATGGTGGTAAAAGATTGTGTACAATAAATTGGTGTTCCATTAGAAGAATACACAAATGAAGTTATATTTTATAGTGAAAAATTATAAATGTCAAATTAATTTGATATAAAGAGTAACAATTGATTTTAATCTTATAGGAAATTAGTAAAGAAAAATGATGGCAATCCTAAATATATGAATAGATGAATACTATAAACACGTAAACCCATCAAAAGGCCTCTATAAATCTCATTAAGCTTAAAAAAAAAAAAAAGTTTTTATTTAATTTCTAGAAAATTTAGCATGAATCACGCATGAGAGCGAGTTGATGCTCGTTTGTCAGCTCGTTAACTTAACAATTGAAGCTTAAATCGACTCGATAAGAGCTTGAGCCCTTTCTCTGTTTCTCGAGTCAGAGTACAACCACCGGCTTAATGAGAAATAGTCATGTCAAGCGCAATATTCTTCCCACAATTTATCTAATCATGAGAAATTAATCAAGGTAAATTTACTACCCAAATTCAAATAATTACACAATGTGTGAACTTAACAATCTCTAAATAAAATAAATG